CCCCTGTCCGCCCCCCGTTCCGGCTTTCGCGAACGGAAGCAAAATTTTGTGAACGGTGCTGTTCGTGACCCGAATTGATCGTGAACAGAAGCGTTCGTGACCCGAGGTACCACTGTATTTTTTGATTTCTGGAATTTGAAATTTAATAGTGGCGTTTATGTTCATAGCTGCTTACCAGCATGAGGGATATTGAACTCTGCTTTACTCTGCACTTGTATCTTTTTCTAACATTAGGGAGCATATGTCTATGTGGGATTGTTCATTACAATTATCAACATTATAAAAAAGAGGTATAAAAATAAACAGGCTTATAAATGAACTCAAATGCTGCCAGCTGGCAGACCTCTTCTGGGGGCTCCTACAGAGTCTTGGGGCTCCCTGGATCGCCCTTAATCATTCTGGGCAAAAAAGAAACTGTCATAGAGAAATATGGTCATGAGACTAAACCTCTCAAAAGGAAAGCAACAGAGATTAAATGAGGAACCAGAGAAAATGTAAAAACATCATTAAGGATGGGAATAGAAAGTCAGGTTATCTGAGAAAGCAGGTTCTGGAAAGGGAGATAAAAACTCAGGAGAAATGTATTTTTAAAAACTTAGAGGATAATATTCCTTCCATCTGTTCAGAAGTCAATCCCATTTCAGGCTAGTGTCGTAACGTGGCTAATCATAGCTGCAGCACAACAGTTATTGTGAATACCAGAGGCAAAATATCGGGAAATGTGAGGTTAGATTATAGTACCGAGCAAGGAAGGAGGTCCTTGACTTCTTAAAATTCAGCACAGATATTCAATAATCACATAAACGCCACTATTAAATTTCAAATTCCAGAAATCAGATAATATTTATGAAAGTTTCCGAGTATTGTCTCCCTGCTGTAATCTAAAATATAATCCTTCATAGCCATTCTGAGTGAAGAATGTAAGTCAAAAGAACTACGCAAAGTATTTTCTGCGTGCTCAAGTTGCTTTTGTGTTTGTTTCTGTAACAACTCTATCTCATGTTAATCTCAGTCAGAAGATTTGCTTGGGTCACTGAGAAGCAGAGAATATCCACCACTGGATGGCAGGATCTAAACCTGCAATGCCCCAGGTGCATCTCATTTTAACACCCAATTTATCCGTTCAGTATTTTTCTTAATACTCTTTTGCCACTGCCACTGTTATATCATTCTAATATATACATTAATTCTATCCTCCTTTCTAAAATTAGCTTTTTTACAGTAACACTTTATTCTTACATTCTTAGCATTATTCTTTTGTCACTAGAGTGTAATAATTTATCCCAATTCTCTATAGCAATGGTTTTCAACCTTGGCAACTTGAAGATGTGCAGACTTCAACTCCCAGTTTTGGGAGTTGAAGTCCACACATCTTCAAGCTGCCAAGGTTGAGAAACACTGCTCTGTAGAATCATGGTTTTGGAATCCAGCCTTACAAATTTTGTTATGTGTAATCACTCTGGAAGACTTGGCCAACAAGATCTAAAAAAAAAAAAATATCGATAATTGGGGTCAAATTCAAGGAGAGGAATATTTCGTTATTGTTACTGCTATACAAATGATGAAGTATTAACAATTAGAAATCATAAAGCTCCACATGGCAGTTGATGAAAGTAATCAAAGATGTTGGCTGCTTTTCTGACTACAAAAGCAATGAAAGAATCAGAGATAATAACAAGGTCCTTAACTTCCAAGGAAGAAAATGTTGTGGAAAAATAGACTGATCCAGTGAAATATTTAGAATTTTACTTGACAGGATACAATAAAGACATATTTCAAAACAATTACAACAAATTATGGAAGGAAATCAAACAAGACACTGAAAGATGGAAAAGCTTAAAACTTTCCGGGCTAGAACCTATGGCAATCCCGCATAAAAATGAATGTATTACCCCTTATTTCAAATGGCACCAATCAAAATCCCAGATAAAAAAACTGTAAAATTGTAGAATTGGCAAAGAAAAATTAATAGATAGATATGGAATGGAAAAAACCAAGAGCAAGATTCAAAATTTTGCAAGTCATAGAAGAGAGAAGATGACTAGCTTTTCCCAATCTCAGATTATATTATAAAGCAAGCCATTGATCGTAGATACCAGAATGAGTAAAATGTCCTATTTGTAGAATATAAACTAAAGAAGGAGCAGGCTTAGCCAATGCTCTTCACAGACATTTATAGTATAAAGAAATAAAGAAGGCAAGAATCTGAAGGCACTTATAAAAGAAAGTCTGCTAAAAATTGGGAATTCCTTAAAGGCAAGGATAAATCCAACAATTTTACCACTAGCATCACTGTCAAACGCTTTTTATTTCAAAGACAATTATGATAAGAAAGATCTGATTACATATGCCCACATGATACATCTGGGCTCAAGAAACAGACTAAAGCCACAAGAATTGCAAAATGAAGGAAGGAATCTATCATAGCTAATAGATTTGCAAGTAACTGAAAAAGTAAAAAGTGATCTTAAGGGCCCTGAAAAAGATGACAGAATTTGAAATGCACAGAATCAAGATAATTTATCAGGACATATTGACAAATTGTTACTTAAATATGACACAGAGACAGACATATAAAAAACTGTATGGTAAAATGGTTGCAAAATTGCAAAGAAGCACTAACAGTGGAACAATGGGAAGATCTATGGAAAAAAATCAGTAACATTTACACCAAGTTATAATCTGAGGGAAAATTGGTACAAAATGTTCTACAGATGGAATATAACAATTGCCAAGATGGATAAATCATACACCAATAAACACTGAAAATGCCACAACAAAGAAGGAATGTTTTATCATATGTGGTGCTTACGCAAAAAAGATTCAAAAGTACTGGAAAGAAATATACCAAAACATTCAACAAATTCTGAAAATAAAATTTGAATTAAAACCACAATAGTTTAATTACTGTAGATATGATTCCAGAGAATATAAATGAAAAGCATCACAATTTAGTAAGATATATGCTGACAGTGGCAATTTATCCCAGTTCTGCACAGAATCATATTTCTGTAATCCAAACTCACAAATTGTGTCATTATTTGAAATCCTGTGCATTAGTGTCATGCCTAATTCTGCTTTTGTTTTAGAGCCCCTAATTCTTGTTTCTGATTTCTTTTTTCAACTATAAGTATTTGAATCCACTACCCAGAGTCATTATAGAGTTAGGTGGCCTTAGACATTTAATTTAATTTACAAATAAATAAGCAAATCTGGAATATTTAAAGGATTAGGTACAAATAAATTTTGGGGTAGAATGTTTCGGGCAAAATGCTCATGTTTACCACTGTAATACAGCCTACAAAAGATAAACTCCCTCTTAATATTATCCAAATCAGGTTTCATTGTGTCAATCCATGGAGTAACTCAGAATTACATTTAACAATTTCTCTTCAAGACGTTCATCTAGGCGAGCCACCCCAATAAGAATCCCACTAGATTTCATGGGCATCTGATTTTTTATTTCTATTTTCATCTATGTTAACTCTGCATTATACCACAAGCTTATAAAGTACCTGTTTCGTTCTCCTGAACACGGGCAAAGGGCTGTTCGGGCTGCTGGCTTTCGAAGACAATTTGCTGTTTTGCATTGTCAGAAGTCCTGCTGGCTGTTCAAATAAGTTTTGCTTTAGTACTGGAAATCCGTTGTAGCTGAAAACGAATAAGATACACTCTTTTTTACTTATACTCAACGTGCCCCTAAGGGCTCCTTCCTACTTTGCTGTTAAGGGAGAACATCTGGAGCATGTCTAGAATGCTTATTTCCTCAGTGGACCATATTTTGTTTCATCTATAATGGGAGACCACCATGTTCCTGAGAAGGGCTGCTACGTCTTAGTTGTTACTTGTTTTTACTTATTTCTTTATTTATAAATTGTACAATTGTACAACATACATTTTCTCTTGGAAATAAACACTCCCAAGGCTCAGGAATAACCATATCTGAATTCTGAATTCCAGATGTCTACTGTATATTGACATCTCTTTTTGGTGCTGCTGAACAGCAACTTCTGACAAGTCCAATGCTATCATCTCTGACAGTTGCACCCCAAAGTCAGAAACTGCTCTCTGTCACCTGATTGTCTTAGTTGAAGATGCCAGGGACTGGATTTGACACCAATGGATGTTCTCTACTACTGAGTTAGAGGACTGTTAACTGTGAGAATCAGAAGACATGGCAGATTGACCTGGAGGACACAGGTTGAGGCTTTGAGGTCTCTCCATGTCAGTGTTCAAGAAACTAGTTGCTGTACAGGAAACTGTACACTTAAATTTCAGTATTTAACCATGATGTTTTTTCATGTGCTCTTCAGTTAGACTGGCAACTTCATTAGTATTGACTACATTTATAAATGTAGTTTATAAAGCTTATTTAGTTTCTAATGAACTAGCAGAAACAACAGCCCATGAAAATTGATACTAAACCTCTAAATTCATTTGGAAGAGAAGATTAGATGGGGGGTTAAAAATGGAGACTCAGAATGGGGGAAAAACAACTGAAAAAAAATCTTGTCTGGGACATCAAATAATTAAATTCATCACATGCATTTTATCCGAGGTGGTATGAGAGACTCTTTCACTGTTACTGAAGTACAATGAAAAGGCCCACAGAGCTCAAGACAAAACATCTGTTAGAAAGGCTGGTCCACACCAATGAACTGTTGGGGCAACTGCCAGGTAGCCGTGTTCCCTCCCAGCCATTCTGTATCTGTACCTCCCAGCTTGTATTGGAAGGTAAGAAGACCCATATCTGGGTTCCCATATCACATCAAACTCTAAATCTGGGTGAGCACAGCATAGTTACTGGGTGTTCCCATAATATATGATGCACAAACAAATTAATCACATTATCCCTTAGGGTGGTGGCCTGGTTCACCTAACATGCAAAGACAACAGCTAGCTTTCCAGAAGACAACCAGAAACAACGGCTACCTCTCAAAAAACACTCTCCTGTGTCCCAGCCAGGCATTTCTCTGAAGGGCAGGAGAGGTGAAACAAGGCCACCAATAAAGCTCGCAAAGCAAAGGCAGTCATGTGGGAGAAAAAGAATCATTGGAAAACTCTGGCTAGAAAGTACTTAAGTTTCATAAGTCATCATTTGCACTTTTAATCATGCACAGAAACCATCCAGAAGCCAACACAGTCAGAACAACACCTGGCATATGTTACATAAGGCAGGCCTCAGCCACCAGCCTGATCATGACATGAGCTGAAATTTCAAATCCCTTTCAAAATGAAGTTCAACGTAGGATGTTTCTACAGTAATTCAAGCTGGATGTGATACAAACCTATATGACTGCAGCCTGATCATTGTCCATCAGGACCCCACACTGCCAACCTTTGAAGCCGACATTCTAGATAGGAAACTTTTGTACATGCATTTGAATACACGTGTAAATGTCCTAGTACCAAATCTGTGCATAACTAAAACGTGCCCATTTAAACCCACTGAAATTATTGCAATCAAGAAGACTAAAACGGACTACGTTGATTAAAACTGCTCAGCTGTAGGGAGCCATAGGAATGACAATGGATAAACTATACAGCAAGAGTTACAAAAACATGTTTTAAGCCTGGGAAATGAAGAAAACATTAGAAAGAAATTCAAACTGACTCCACCATAACGCCCTAGGGGAAGGAGGCAAAAACAAGCTTTCAAGAGTCTGTTATGATAGCCTGGATCAGTTTCTCAATCTTGGCAAATCTGAGGTATGTGGACTTCAACCTGCTGGCTGGGGAATTCTGGGAGTTCACAAATCTTAAAAGTTGCCAAGGTTGAGAAACACTGGCCTAAAGAATGGATAGTGAAATTAATGGAACTGGCGGAGATGGCAAAACTGACTACTTTGATTAAAGAAAAGTATTTGACTGGCTTTGTTTCTATTTGGACATTCTGCTTGAGACTGAAAGAAATGAAACTTTAATTCTGGGGTTTGATGACTGATACTTTTCATACTTATTGAAATACTTTGTATTAGTTGTTCTTATATCTTTACTGTATATTGACATCTCTTTTTGGTGCTGCT